AAATTACATATATATGTAAAATATAGCCAGAGAAAATTCAAGAAAGAAACATAAATCTAGTAAGCACAGAAAATGAAAATGCCTGAGAAAATTACACATTTTAGAGAAAATTAAAATGCCAGAGAAATTTATAGAGCAGAGAAATTTGAATGAATTGTCAATAGAAGGGATAGGAGAAATACAGAAAAATTAAGTATTAGATGTTTTAGGACCAACAAGTTTTAAATGGATAGGACACGGGGAAATAAAACAAAAGAAAAAGAAAAAGAGCTAGAATTATCAATGTCAATGGAAGGTGATTTATTTCTTCAAAGAGATTGCCAAGAAGTGTACTGAACGATGACCATTTCGTGACACGAAAAGAAATCATATTAGCCATGTTAAGGAGTAACAATCCCATAATAATGTGATGATGTGGTTGATGATTGTTGTATTCTTTCATTTTCTGTCATCAATGGGATTGATGCAGGTGTGTGGCCCGAATCAAAGAGCTTTAGTGATGAAGATATGGGACCAATTCCATCCAAGTGGAAAGGAATCTGTCAAAATAAAGCAGATGCAAGCTTTCATTGCAACAGGTTAGATTCCTCTATCACTCGTGTACATAGCGCTGTTTGGGAACAATTTTTTTTGGGTTTTTTTTTTCACTAAAAGACAAATTGGTTACAAAACTAAAAAAAAATAAATCCAAATAAAATATCACATCAAACCCCATAATCATTTTACTTTTTCTCTCACAAATATCACATCCAACCACAAAAAAACCCAACTATCTTCCCAAACACAAAAAATTTTTTCTCCAATAATATCTTACAACTAAAAAAACCTACAAATAAATCCACTTCCCAAACACCCACATAAACTCTTACTAATGCACACTTTCAAGTTGATGTTCTTAAGAGACCTTTTATAGATATTGTGAGAATATATTGTATATATGGCATGTTGTGTATATATGGCATGATTGTGTAAATAGAAATTAGTTAGTATTTCCTTTTTCAGTCATTGTGTAAATAGGAATTAGTTAATATTTCTTTTTTTAGTCATAGATTTAAGGCTATATAAACTGATGAACTCTTTGTAAATTGACACAATGGAATATACAAAATTATTCAGAAACTTACATGGTATCAGAGCTGTGCTCATAACCCTAGCTAGTTTCTGAGTCACGAATCGATAGAGTTCTCCCTCTCTCTCGATTTGCGATATCCTTCTTGTTCTGTCTGGTTCGAAGTTTTGATCAGGTTCATCGGCTTACATGGTTCACCATCGAACTTCGTAGGTACGATTTTGCTAAACTCATCTGAAGTTCTAATAAAGTTCATCGGCTCACGTGGTTCACCATCTCCATTGCTCTCATGTTCGTGACCCATCTGATTTGTGACCCATCTGTTCATTGCTGGTAGTTGACTTGCAATTGGTAGTCGATCCATTTGGACTCTTCGTCTCAGTGCTTCGCGATTGCTAGTCGACCCTTCATCGCAGCTCGTCTTCTGTCTCTGGCTCATCTTGACTAGTTCTTTCTCCTTTAACTTCGTCGACTGTTGTTGATTATTCTCTTTGTGACTCTTTGGCATCTACTTCGCGATTTCACTCTCTATTGATAGGATCAAACACACCCAGAAAATAATCTCACACACACAGAGAACACAATATTTACGTGGTTCGGCCAAATGTCTACGTCCATGGAGCAAAAATAAGAAAGCAAAAATACAAAACAGATGAGGATGAGTATCTCACTCTCTCTACTCAACTCAAAGTTCTCATACACTTCTCACAACTCTTTTTTTTTCTAATACAATACATCCCCTCCCTTTCGTCTCTATTTATACACAAAGAGAGAGAGGACAAGCCCACACAATTTCTACATTCTTTAATGGTGTGGGTGAGTGTCAATAATGGCAACAACGTGAAGAGAAGGGAGAGTTTTGCAGATG